TTACTGAGGGAGCACTCAATCCCCTCATCCAGATCATTGATAAAGATGTTAAACGAGACTGGACCCAAAACTGAGCCCTGGGGATCACCACTTGTGACCGGCTGCTAACTCCATCCACCACCACTCTCTGCGCTCGGCCATTCAGTCAGTTGTTTATCCAGCGGAGTATACACCCATCCAAACCATGGACAGCCTTTACCCATGCCAGCCCTGGGCACTGGAGATAGCCCTTATCAAATATGGTTCAGATACCAAAGATCTGTGGATTTCAGGCATTAAGGAAAGGCTTTACTCACCCCTATGCACAGCTCATTATACTGCGTTCTTCAGTCTCCTGATTTCCCTATGCTGGCTGCGCTGAGGCTTCCCGGGAGCAGTTTCACACCAGCCCCAGTGGAAGGTGAGATACGGGTCCTGCAGCATAGGCAGACTCGCTCTCCAGGCTATCGTGCTTTCCAGGTGACCTCCTACATGCATGTCCTGCAATCTGAGGTAGATCCCAGACCTCACTGGAGGAATCTACCTGTATCTCCACAGCTGGGAAAGGTGTCTTGTAAAATGGAGAAAAATACTACAGATGGATCCGCAGGATCTTGGTTCCCTTGAGACATCCCTTTGTTGTCTGGGATCCTATGTAGTAAGTCAGCTAGAACTTAAGGTATACCCTGTGATACAACGTGAACTCCAGCTACCAGCAGCACAGCTTTAGTGCCGTTCAGAGCCTTGCTCAGGAACCTGAAAGCCAGACATATTCAAAACAAACTTGTCTCTTCTATGAGTTTCCATCCCCTCTTCAGGCAATGCAAAAGAATGTCCTTTTCCCCACTGAGCTGTGATCCCAGCTGGCACCACGTTCTTTCTGTTCTCCCTAGCAGCTTTTCATCTTGCTCAGGTTTTTATATAGGACACAATTTATCATATCTCTTTGTGTACATTTCTCAGGCTTTCCTTAAGCATTCTGTGTATCCTGAGCCAAGAAGTCCCATTCTGTTTGCCTGCTCCCAGGCTCTAATCTGAGGTCTGTATGCAAACATTGGCACCGTCTCCAAGCATCATAATCGAGCAAATTTGCTGCCATTCAGAAAATAATGGCAATACCACTGGATTCTCCAAGTGCCTTTATTTCCACTGATGAACTGAACAAAGACCCCAGGGAAGACATACAAGTTTTTAAGATCATCTGAGAGTAATAAAGACTACGTCAGATAGAAAAGACTGTGAAGACCAGACAGTCTGCTCCCTCTGTCTCCAATGGTATCCGTGTTTAGAATATAGTCAGCTCCCATTGCCAGGACAGTAGGCATGCAAGGAAAAATGTCTTTGTTCACCTGACATGCAAAATGCACCATATCAGAATTGTAAAAGGGACTGCTTTTCCTTGTGCAACAAAAGTCTTGCCATTATTTTTAGGAAGAGGGAAGTGAAATCTGTATTTAAGGAGCATGAAACCCAAAATATTGAAAGACATTAGATAGAATCCCTGTGCTCTTGGAATCCCGGTGTATATGTGCGTCTGTGGCATGGAAGGGGGTTTAAGAGAAGAGATACGAGAAAGTAGAATTAATGAAAACTGTCATCCTTATCAGATGTAAAATGCAAGCATTAAAGGTGATGCAATTGTGTGACTAGCCATTGGTAGTGATGGAATAACAACGTGACATGGGTATATACTATATTAAGTACTAGGACCAGAGATAAATGTACCTCTCTTTTGCATTCAGGCTCTCAACACTGCCAATTAAAGCTTCAATCAGATTTCCTTGCAGAGCTGGGAATAGTCAGGTTAGTGTGACAGCCCTTGCCAGCTTTGGAGGGTAAGCTTGTAACTCAATCAGCAAAACGCACAACTCCTGAGCACAATGGAAGCGTAATCTTTCTGAATTTGCCAGTTCTTTTGTTTCCACTCCTGTCTCAGACAGTGTGCTCTAAAACTCTTAAAATAAGAATTACAGAATGCAGTGCAAAGAAATGAAACTGATGGTTTCATTTCCCTAATGTATCACCTTATGACAGAAACAGGGTACATCTGGGTAGTAGGAAAGACAGCAGTGTCACATGCTACCTGAACCCAACGGGCTGTGCGTACGTTGGCTGAGAAGCGAACAGGCCACATGTTGTATTTCCACTCATTTCTCAGAATCCACGTTAAAAATAAGCATAGGAATAAGCATATAATGATTCCAGATTCATGCTAGATGAAGTAAATGGTGACTTTGCAATAAAGCCATCTGGGCCGTGGACGGCTGGGGGAGGGGAACAGCCTTTGCACTGCAAAAGGGGGGATCAGAAGCAGAAGAGAGAGGTGGGTGAGCTGATAACCTGAGTAGCCCTAGCATTTGGCTAGGATATCAGTGGTGGCACTTTATTCACAGCTAAAACCAAAGCAAGACAACAGCAGCACACTACAAGGAATGCCAAGCCCCAGAAGACATGATTCTTCCCCTCTCGTGTGAATAGATCACTTTTCACTGAATGTCACCTGCCCGTGGGAAATCTCACACAACTGGCAGCAGCAGAGAGGATCCAGGGTCACCGAAGCGTTTGGACACATTTAATTTCCATGAATATTTCTTTGTGAAGGAAGTTTATTTTCCCTCCAACCTTCTTACTCATAGTGTGAAAGTGCTTTTTCCCCTTCTGAGGAAAGTCTTTTCTCACGCTGTCTCCCTCCTAACATCTATGTAAAGTCTATATCCATGCTTAGACAGGATTTAGCCAACACTTACTATTACTGCAGCATTTTTCACTAGTAACTGTGACACATGAAATACTTTACTAAGAAGTGAGAATCCTTTCACTCTCGGAAAAGTGAAGTTGAGCAGTCGACAGCAGCATGGGATAGTGCAGTGTGTGCCAGACAGATGCCACCTCCCCATTCACAGTTTTTGGGAAGATGTTCCCACTCTGGTGCTCCGTCACAGCGGGTGTTTTGAAATAGACAGGCAAACTGTCACGTAACTGAGACATACATTCATATCTGCAGAGACAGTATCTGTAAAGGATTAAAATGATAAAACTGGATTAAATAGTAAGTGAAGAAATGTACTTTCTATTAAAACAATGACAAGTTATTTGTTCTTCTATCACACAAGATATTTTGCACTATAGAAAGAAAAAAACAATTTTTATTTTAGCTTATTTTTGCTTAAGATTTACTTTCCCTTTGCTGGATCACACAATTTCTTTAGGACATCTTTCGCATTGATCATCTCCTTGACATCTGTTATTAAAAAAAGACACAGAGGTGGACTTAAGAACAATTATGTGGTAGTGGAGCTGTTAAAGCTCGGGCAGAACATTTACTGATGTGCAGATGCATGTGTGTCCTTGCTGCCGAGTCCTGTCTTTCATTACTAATGTGGCTACGCAGCTTTTGGGACTGAGCTGCCTGCTCAGAGAGTGGAGAGAGTTAGTGACTGCCGGAACCTGATTGTGCCTTTGTAGAAACGCAAAGGAAACTGATTTCAGAGCTGGTGGTACTCATGACTAATCCAACACTGAAGGAGCTGGAGTACTTCTGAAATGTGCACTTTCCTATGCATTTCCCGAAACATGCCTCTTCAAAAGTACACTGCAGATTTCTTAATCTACGGTAGTCGGTTTAGGATCATTTTATAGCAACTGGAGAGTGATAAGCAAATCTAGGGCACAATTCACCTCATTTTGATTTAGGTGTCTAAAACAGGCCAGATGAATCATGCCTTTGCTTTTGCCACTGACATTTTCATGTCTAAAAGTTGGAGACAATTAATTCCATCCTGCTTGGCATGCACAAGTGCAAAGTGCTAATTTAATGATCTGAGATTTTCCAGTGAAAAAGGAACCACACCTACAGTCATTGATTAGGCTGGAAGACAAAGGGTGACACTCTCAATATGAATCTCAAATCAACATAGTTCAGAGGCAGCTGGCAAACTACACACAACAAAAGAGGCTTCAAAGCATATGACAAAAAGTGGGAAACCCCTTGGCTTCTTACTGAAGACAAGGTCAAAAATATATGTATTTACGACTAAGCTGTTACAGCAACTATTGCCACAATAAATCACTTCTTGTTGCTGTCTTCCCAACTCATTTGTCGTTGAATGTATTGGGCAGGCCATACGTTATGTTATACAGAATATGCCTTGATGTGATTGAGTTAACAGCACGATGGGGAGACTAGATGATCACTTCACTCATTGACCCAAGTCCTCTAGAAAGACAGAGATGCTCTTGTTCGTGTCCAAATTGGAAAGATGTCTCCTCAGCTAGTAACAGACTTGTGAAGATAACCACCACTCAATGAGTCTGTAACAAACTAATGGTTTCTTCTTGTCGTTTTTCTGTCTGCTGGTGCTTTCTTTCCTTTGATGGAGGATGCTATCGGAAGGTTACCTTTACAGAATCTCCTACCTTTGTGAAGACTTGAACCATGAGCTCTACAGCAAGAGTTCAGCTGAGGAAGTGGTGTATGAAATGAGGTCCATTAATTATTCTTCCACAGATGAAGCACAAGAAAAAAGCCTCCTTCAGAGATGCAGATCTGCTGGCAAGTACTTTTCCTCAGTCTGCTCTAGAGGAAGCAAGCACAGCAGAAGGCAGAAGGATAATCTCCTACAGCCCACACAGCACCCCACGCCCTCAGGGCAGCCATCTCCAACTACGCATGCCTGTGAGGAGTTGACAAGAAAAGACACCTACCTGGTTCCATCTTCCTGCAAAAGCATCTGCAAAAACTACAACGATTTGCATATAGCCGGGGATTATGTGGTGCCCATTAGCTCAGTCACGACAGATTTTACCTGCGACAGTGGCATAGGCCCCTTCTTGGAGTCCTCAGAGATTCCTCCCCCCATGGAGTCCGTGAGGGTCCCCCCCAGTGACACCGGACGCAAGCTGGTCCAAGGCTACTCCTCGTGCTGGCGGCTGGCGAGTTTAGTGCCTCACCAGCAGCCCCTCTCCGATTCAGCCCTGAACGACTACCTCGAACAGAAGCTGGTGGAACTCTATAAGCAGTACATCATGGACAGCACAGCAAACAGGGCATCCCCCACTCAGATCCTGGCCTCGGAGCTAATTATGAGTAACGTAGATCAAATCAGCATGCAGATATCACGGGAGAGGAATATGGAGACCACCAAGGCCAAAGACATTGTCATTAGCCGCTTCTTACAAATAGCCAGTGAAAAAATATCTTCAGAAATTAGCACACCTAGTCTGCATATTTCCCACTAGCCACATAGCCACATTTCCCACTTTCCCCATAGCCACACTAACACATAGTATTCGAGTGTCTACCATCAGAAAGCTTTTATGTTCTGCAAAGTCAATTTTTAGTTTCTTAAGACATTTTTCTGCTTTATATAAATGCAATTACCATCTACCACATAAATTAAACCTTGCAGTACATATTAAATAAGTAAAAATATTTATACTGTGCAGCCCCTATTGTGGACCAGATGAATTATTGATTTTTTTTTTAAAGTTTTCCCTAAAGGCTTATTTTAGTGAGCCTCAGACATTGAAAATATTTTGTAGAAAAATGACTAAGAGCATACGACACTCTTCCAGATGCTCAGGTGTTTGCTTTCTCCCCGACGTGCATGATGTCATTTCAACTTCCCTCTGTCTGGAGTCTGCCATCCTACCCCTGGGTCTGTGTGAAGCGAAGGCGTATGCCCACACAAGCACAAGCACAGTGATGGCAGAGCCACAGAAATACGGAGTTTAGGGTCTCATCTAGTTCATCTCCCTGCCCCGAACAGCTTTACTTATTACATCCCTCACAGAAGTTTTTATAATTTGTTCATAAAGATATTAAGAGATAGACAATTTACAGTTTCTTCTCTGCTAACCCTGATTATTTAATTGGTGAAGCAAACTCTTTTGCCAAACAGACTCCATCAGTAGGAGTGTGAGTGTGCACCTGTGTGTTTTGCACTGAACTGAACTTTTACAATGGACGCTGGTGACCTGCGATCG